ACTGAGAGAAAATGTCCCCACAAACACAGCAACTCTGGACAAATGGATGAGGTGAGCAAGTGTCCACATCCTCATCTTTCTTTTAAAAAAGCAAACAGAGTCTTCTGTAAAATCGAAAAGTGATAGAAAATATTTGTCTGTGCCCTCCCTGCACTGCATTTTGTCTGGATGGAGCACATGCTCGTCAGCAAAAAACGGGACGAGAGCCGATGAGAATTGCTCACAAGGATGGGAACACAATCGCCAGTGTATGAGTGTGCAGAGCTTGCAGGCACCACGGGCAGAATGTATGTTTGTAATTATCTGGGAGCAGATCGCTTTTCAGATAATTTTTGTGAAACAGTCTTGTAAGACCGACAAGTCATTAAATCCCTTTGTTTCAACTTGTAATATACAGTATAAATGAGATTCCACAGGGTGTGTGCGTTGTAGCAGTGTGATGTGACCTGGTATGAGATATAATGACTATAATCACAGAGAGATGTGATTGCAGCACTCCTGGTCTCTCACTTGTCTTCAGTTCAACTTTGCTCCTGATAATTTTTTTAGGTGTCAGCATTAGCTTTTGTGTTGAAAGTGAATCACCCTGCGACTGGCCAGCATCCGAGATGTTTAAACAATGCTGGAACATTGGTGCTAAACACATCTAATCCACTTTTAAAACTAAAATAGCCACATACTGTACGACCTAGACCGTACTCAATTTCTCTCTATACAGTATAAGACGCGTTTAACTGTAGTATGGGGGAGATTTGGTTTTGAATAGAGTTACGATAGCTCTTTTAAACACTACCTTGGAGTGTGAGAATCGATCTGGACCCATTTATCTGGTATTTTCTGTGGTGACCCTTCAGAGAAAAAAAAACAAGGGCGGCAAAGGGTGAGAATTTACCAGCGATAATTAGCGAACTATGAATGATGCACCTTTGCCTGTTCGCTTTGTTTACCAGCCTTTGCTCCAAAAAAATCGCCAGCGAGCCGTCTTGAGCACGACAGAAGAGTTCCAGGGCAGAGTTCTGACAGCCCTGCGCTCGCTGAGCCGGCTGCCGGCCTGTCTGCGAGCTTTAATTAAGACGTGTTCAATGGAAAGCCTCCCCTGCTGTGTCACAGGCCAGTGATCAGACACTTTCAGATGGTCCAGCCCGTGACTTTGACCTTCCGCGCGGTCCAGTGTTCCCTGGGGAACCGTTCAGCTCATGAGCTCTGATTTCACACTTCTGCAGCGCCTGGGCTCTCCGAACAATGACATGGAGACAAAGCCCTTTAGAGCCCGCATCACGGGAACTTGCTTAAATTGGAAACTAGAGAGGTGTCAAGGAACAAGGTTATGGGCTACAGAACAGTGCCTTTAATAAAGAGCTCACAGCCCCGATTCACTGCAAAGAGGGCTCTCCCCCAAGCACAATTAATTGAGGCATTTATCTGGAGCACCAGCAGTGTGTTGTGCAGAGCTCATGATAAATATCTGCTAAACAAATACTAAGTAAACGGAAATAGAAAGGTGCAGGCATTTCTTGTGTCTTTACCTCCCAGCAAAGATTCGTTCAGATTCTTATCTTGGAAATTGCGCCGGTAAGTTAGACGAGCCCGAAAATTAAATTAAGCCTTTAAAACCGTGGCGGGGAGTAAACACTACCCATTGCTGCCAGGCCTGCAGGAGTTATTATTCCGTTCTTGTGTGTTGGGGGTTGTTTAAGACACTGTAGGGTCCCTTCTACAGGGCAGCTAAGAGTGTTTTTAAAAGTTTTGCGTGGAGAGCTGGTACAGAGGACAAGAAAGATGTGGCTGGAAGCAAGCGAAGTTACTGTAAAATTGCACTAGAGGCAGGCGGATTAATGCTGGTGAAGAGGCAGTCTCACACAGGGCATCAAATGAACAATTAGGACAGGCTGAGGTGATCAGTAGTTCCTGTAGGCTTTTCCATTTTCTTTTACAATCTCTGAGAAATGCCGAAGAGCCCTCCCTGGACGTGGTGTGGTAAAGCATTTGTTTACTTTGAAATCCGCAAGAAAAATCTCCAGCCCCCAGCAGTGCCGTGCTCATTAAAGGGCTATATCTCACTGACACCTGCAGTGTGCGGAAGAAGAATGCTAATACTTCTTTCTGAATACAGTCCATTGTCTCTCTATTAAAGTTTGTTGTAGTGCCTGAAATTCTCTCCGGATTGCCAATGTCCAAAAAAACAAATTTTACAGTAATGGCTTAATCCTTGGATGAGAGCATTTAATTTGATAACCCATGCTATCAGATTAAGCCTGTCATGTCCCGTATTACTATGAGATAATGCTGTGTAAAACAGAAGGGTCTGCTGGCGAGTCTTGGGTATTGCCAAACGTGCTAACGGCCACTAAGTCATTCTTCTGGTGATTCGAGGTGTGCTAGGCTAGCTAGCTACTGTATAATACAAACTGCAACAAATGTTTCGTGTGACTTATATTGGCCAGAACCTGCTTTAATGAGAAGGTACCTGCTTTATTATCCTTTAATAACAAGGATATGGTAAATGTGAAAAGGTTAGCAGCTTATTGTAAGAATTGTAAAATGTCACAAAGATGATGGATGTACCACAGCATGTTGTACACTGTACTGTACAGTATGTGGCAGATCAGATACAGTATGTCCATGCAACATTTACATTACAGTCTTTTAAGGAAAATGCTTTGGCTGTGTCATGCATTTAACTAAAGGCAGTTGAATGTGTAATTTTTAAATAAGGAATAAGTTAAAAAATAATGTACCAGTTCAGAAAGGCTGTGACCTCTGCGCCAGAGTCTCTATATTTTCCCATTCTTTTTGTTTAAAGAGAAAAAGAAGATGTTGAAGCTTTAAACAAGAGCAAAAGACATTTAAGAGTGTTTATGCCTTTGGTGACATTTTCTAGACAATCTAGTTGTAAAAAAAGCACAACAGCCAAACAAGGTGAGCTATGCAGGATTTAACTGTGAAACACAATGTAGAGTTTGTATTTGTAGAAGATATATTATTGATATACTAAGATTCAATGCAGTATTAACAAATTGAATTCAAATAATTCCTTACTTTCTTTGGATATTCAATAGTTTTAACTGTTCTTGCATATCAAAATTTGATTTTTACAATTTCCACTAAAGATGATTTGCAACATTTAAAAAATATGTTTCTGCTGCATGACTGAAGGCTTTTTAAATGTTCTTTTAATGTAAAATTGCTGAATATGTGTCCTTTGTGATATTGGTTTAATGCAACAGCAATCTGATTATGTCTATATATACAGGTATGGATCATCATGCTTTCATTTTCAAGATGTAAGGCATGGTTATCAAAACAGTTTATGCACCATGGCTCCCTGATCATTGTGTATCGTTTAAGTTAATATGCACATTAACCTCTCGCATACTTATGGATCGATATGTTAGTTTGGTGAATGTGCCTTCTAGACAGCAGTGGCTTTATATTGATTGCAGTGACATTTATTTAGTATATTCAATGAATTGCCCAATTGTGCCATAACATTTGGATAAACTCATAGGAATCAATAAGAATATATTATGTTGCTCACACAGTGTGCATTCATAAGCACACCCTTTGGTCTAAGATTTAAATTGCTTTCCCCTGCTTTGTATCTTTTAAAATTGACAACAGACTTAAAATGCGTTTGATCAAGTCTTATTTGAAAGTTATTTTGTTTTTGATAATTTTGATCATCACGTTTTTTTTATGATGCACGTAAAGCCTTTAACAACTAAACTTTTTACATACATTTCACAAAGAAAAAAATGCTTTTACATTAGCTGTAGTTTTTTGATCTGCTAGTTTTTTTTTTTGCATTTCCTTAACCCTAGCTCTAAACTGTGACTGCTGTGCATATGCAGTAGGATACTTCACTAGCAGTGATTATGTAGCTTGCATTAAGAGAATTTTGCAATTTGTTTTCTTGCTTTCTTGCTTCTTCTTGTTTTTTTTCCATATTTCATATTTATATTTTTGCTAAACTAACATTTTAATTTTTAAAAGCATCTACAGTACACATTTTGTTTCTTTTTGAGTAGCCTTTGTTCTGACCCAAATATCGATGAAGGGTTCAATCCCATTCTTTCTCTGCCGGATTCATTAACAGAAATCTTACCTGCCAAGCTGTTCTGATAATATTCTGATATTCAGCACAGGGATGTTGAAAAATATGACTATGAAACATTTCAGAGCTTTCCTGAGCAGAAGGCATGTGAGCGCAGACATCGATATAAGTTAATGAGAGTCAAGGAATATGTAGGAAGAGCCAGGAGTCAGGTGTCTATATGCCATCCTCTCCTTAAATTCTGCACAGTACTTAAATACAGTAGTTGTTCAGCAAAGTTCGCATTTTAGCTAAACAGCACAGCCAGGGCAATGCAAATTCTTTCAGTGACGACACTTGTGCGTTTTTTAGATTGGATTTTGCACTGACTAGCAGAATGTCTGTGTTGGCCTATCAGTCCCTAACAGCCTTATGTCCCTTACTTAAAACAACCAAAATTAAAAACCTAACATCCAGGGTTTATCCTTTCGCCTGTTTTACTTGTTTAATGTTGTCCACTTAAGAATTCTGACAGTAAAATCTGCATGACTCCACCAAGGACAGATGGCATTTTCACTGAGTAGCGCTGTGGGCTATGCAGCTGAAGACTTTATCTTCTTGTGACTGTGTACGTACAGTACAGGAGATACAGCACGTGTTTCTGGGCCATGATATTGTAATATGAAAATAGATCCCGGCTTAACCCATGGTCTTGTCAGAGATCGGGAAGGTTGTAGCTATCTTCCTTCCAGCGCTCCCCAGCCGGTTTATCTGCAAGAAGTCATTCGCGTCTCCCTGTTTCTGGTCACTGGATTAATGCAGGAGTAAATAAGCAAACTCTGTGATAAAGTTAATGCATCTCTTTTATCTTTTGCTCTGTTTCCCCTTGTAGGCAAAAGTGACCCATTCTGTGTGGTGGAGCTCAGTAACGACAGGCTGCAGACTCACACGGTCTACAAGAATCTGAACCCGGAGTGGAACAAGGTTTTTACTTTGTAAGAGCAGCCACACTACAAACTGTAGATGCTTCTGTCCAGACACTGCCTTGTTCCTGTGATGTGCTCCTATGCAATTTAAACATACCGAAAGGTCTTAATATACATAAGCCAAGGCCCCTTGAATTTTAAAATCATGCAAATCAGCAGGTTCGCTTTTTTAATTAATTGGTTCATATTTCGAATACTCAAATAATATCATTCATATTTTCTGAAATACTTTGACATTTATGGTTAGCTAAAGTACGGAGAGAATTCTAATACTTTATTGATCTCTTCGGCAAAAAAACCTCTCCATGCATTGGCTCTGAGGACAGGAATATGAAGAATTAAAGGTGACTTTAAAGATTTCTGGGCTAAAACGAAAGTTCCCAAAGACAAGGTGTAGAGATGAATTAAGAATGTATAAATATAGTTGTAAGGATGTGTGTAATTATCAATGACGAGTTCTGATTTGCTCATTCATTTTATTTGTATTGTTTAGAAGACAGTTTATGATGTATTGTGAATACATTACATTCAGATTACCTCGGCTTCCATGTAATCTACAAAACCCTTGGATTATGAATAGAACTGTGATTGAATTAATACATAAAATGCTTCTTTTTCCTTTTTTTAAAACTTATCTGTTAACTTGTGGTTACAGGCTTGTAGTCTGTCTCCACTCAACTATCGGTGTGTTTTTTTTTTGCAATTTTATTTAAAAATTATTCAATTAAATGTTAATTACAAACAGAATCAATATATTAATCTTGATCACTTACAATTAATGAAAGTGGATTTTTTTTTATTCAAACAAGTTTCTTTAGAATTCAGGGGAAATATAAAAATAGATTTTTTTAATTGCAATGTTTGTGTTTCTTTTGTGACCTATTTTTTCATGGAATTCTAATTACTGTTGTTAAATATTATTTAGCAAATTGAGTCTAAACAACGTACTTTATTATTAGAATGGTCTCTGTCAATGTTTTTAAATTCTTAGTGTTTTTTTAGATTAAATTATGCACTATGGAGAGTAATACAAGATTTATTATTGCAGACAAAAGATTTTAGTATTTTTCTTACCATTAATGCTTGGAATGCTTAAAAGTATTAAAAATGTTGTTTAAAAATAAAACAGACTGTATTTTCTATTTGTATCTTATTCCATATCCATTGTTCTGCCCCTTTTAACTGAGAGCTAAATACATAAAAAAATGCTCTTGCTTAAATCCTGTTCCCCATTATTCAGCATCAGTGCTGCGTATGCTCATGTTGTTTAATGTTTCAGAAAGCAGGTAAAACGGCATGAGAGTTTTTACTTGTTTATTTCTGGTTTAAACCATGTACAATTAAGCTGCATGCCTCTGAGTATCTGCAGATAAAAGAGTTTATTTTTGTGCATGGTCTTGTAATAAAGGCCTTCTCGTACTTGTTAAATACCTCAACACAATTTGCCATCCTCTCTTAGAGATTACTGAAATGGTTCTGAAATGTTTCACTGTTTTAAAGTTGTTTAAGTGCAGAAACAGCTCTCCAAATGTTTGTGCAATGAATCCTTCTTATTGTTGCTTCAAAGACACCAAGCAGATGACTCTGCAACTTGTTATTCTTCACTCAACAGCAACATTAAAGACATCCACTCGGTCCTTGAAGTGACAGTTTATGATGAAGACAGAGATCGAAGTGCTGACTTTCTGGGCAAGATTGCCATCCCGTTGTTATCTGTAAGTCTTGTGCGAATGGCGCAGTTCTTTGTCTTTTTTTTTTTTAAATGTCCCTTTCGGGGAAAAAAAAAATCCTGGCTTTGTCTGTCATTTTTCAACCGAGATTTGTAATCATAACACAAAGAAAAAAATACAGAAGAAGCACTTAATGTACCCAGCGATGCTGATTCCCCTGGATAGTTAATTTCTCTTTGACAGACTTGCTCCTGGTAATGAACAGGTACTTGTCAGAGTTGCCACAGTTGTTTTGGGTTCTCTGTCAGTTTCAGCAGCTGGGGGTCAGAGGTCGCGGAGGGAGTGTATTCAGTTGGGAGTACGAGACAGACGGCTGTCATGTCCTTCTCCCGCAGATTCAAAACGGCGAACGGAAAGCCTACGTCTTGAAAAACAAGCAGCTGACAGGGCCAACAAAGGGGGTCATCTTTCTGGAAATAGATGTGATTTTCAATGCTGTAAGTCTTTTTCCCGGGCTCCCCCACACACACTTGTTTCTTTCTGTCTTGTTTTTTTAATTACTGAAGACTAGCGTCTCCCTCATGCCTTTATTTGCGATTTATAGGGGACTCATGTCATGCCTGCAGCTCTGCAGGCCCTTTTTAAACGCTGTGAGAAAGAGCGAGCGCTGAGCACCCTGTCCTGAGCCCGGCTCTGACAGGTCCTGTGTGTGTGCCGCAGTGTGTGTCTGTGTCTACGGCAGCTCATTCATCTGCTAATTAAACACTTGCTAGTTTTATTCGTATGCGGGTTTTGATAATGACATGCGTAGATTAACCCCGCGAGAGATCACTCTTTCTCTGCCGACACCCTTCCTGTCGAAATCGGCACGGCAGATATGTTTCGTGGATACTTAGCCCATCGAGCGCGCTGTTGACTTCTCTTCTCTTCTCTTGTGTTTATCCCTACAGGTAAAAGCTGGTCTGAGAACTTTAATACCGATAGAACAGAAGTATATTGAGGAGGAGCCAAGAGTCTCCAAACAGGTATTATTATACTAATTGTCCTTTAATGCCAGTAGGATGAAGGCCCAAACCCTTTATTTTTTGTGACAGACATCAAGCCCCAAAGCGATGGGCGGCATGGGACATCAGCGAGAGCGCAGCGCTCTGTGAACGGTTTTTTGTGGGGGGTGAATAGAAACGTCAAGCTGTCACCAGTATGGCCTTGTCAGAAGAGAGGCCGGCCTACTGGTTTTCAGCGAGGCTGCCGAAGCCCCAGTTCATTGTCGCCGGAGTGAATGCGCTCCAGCAACAAAGAGCTGGATTGAAGAGGTGGTCCAAATGAGACACAAAAACGTTGTTTGGACAAAAACAGCCGTATTCTGCAGCTCTTTGTGAGGGGCTGCTGGGCCCTGCGCAGACTCTTGCAATATTTTGTGTGTGACTCTGCATTTGTTTTTGTGCTTTGGTAACAAAAATGGTGATTTCTAATGCTAGATAAACAATGTCACAAATTCTGTGAGATTGTAGGAGGGACTGCTTGCAAATTTATTTTGTGCTCTTTAGTTTCTTAAGTGCTCGTTTTTTGAACTCCTACAAAAAACAACATTTTCAGGTTTATTATGTCTTACACTGCCATGTCTCAGCACTGATGTTTTCCTCTGTAATTCGTCTGTAGCAAACCAAATAAACTTTCCTTCCAATTATTACAACATGTGTTACAAAGTGCAGCTCAAAGCCCCTTGTGTCTGATTTCAGTGGTGGTCTAGGGACAAGGCAGGGATTCGCTATCACAGTTTAACTATCACAGTTTAACGGACTTCATTTTCGCAGACATCGGATTTCTTGGACAAAGTCTGCTAAAGAGGATTTTTGTCTGAAAAAGCAGAAATACCTGACTTTCCTCTCAATAACTGGGGGATGCACAGATTAAAACACAGTGAAAATGAGATTCATCATACAGTAGGTTTAAAATCAGGAATATTGATGGTGCCCTATAGGGGTAGGTCAGTTGTTTACGACGTGTATTGTTTGGGTTAGTTATGCTTTCAGAAATTTTATATATAAAGTTTTAGACACGTGAAAGAAAGAGCTTATATATTTATAATAAAAAGGCACAGGAGCAAATGTCATTAAATGTATTGATTGCAATTGTTAAAAAAAGTCAAATCTAGAAAGCATACTGTATATATAGTATATAGTATGTCATTATATACATAGATATTTATATTATCATATACTGTAATTGTGTGTTTTTGAGGTGAAAAAGCGTCAGTCGTGCCTCAACGTGCTTTTATGTACAGTTGGCAATAACGTACACCTCGTCCCGACTATTCGTTAATCGGTCAAATTAGTTAAAACGAGGGCGTACTGCTAGGTTTCTTGGGTGCATGGTCTTTCTCTCAACTTCCTGCCCTCTTGTAAAAATTCTCTGTGATTCTCAGTGTATCCCAATTACAGCAGAGAAAGTGCTAATAGTATAAAACAACTTTTTTAGTTATGCTGTAAAATCAATCAAGCCTTCTTTTTAATCTGCACTAAGAGGACAGGAACTGCACACAAAAGCGATTTGCAACAAAGTACCCAATTGTGCTAAATGGCAAGAAAATTCAACTGGAGTATTTTATACGTGCAGTTACAAATTTTTCCACCCTGCATTTTAAGGCCTGCATTTGAAATTCATCTTGATGTCAAGATGAAGTGAGTCATGCCTGAGCTTGAACTGAACGAGTTCCTCAGCTGCGTTGTGACAACATAAATTCTAGTTGCCTAGTCTTAAAAAGGTTAGTCATGCGTGAGGGTCCTTTTTCGGAAAACGTATTCCACCGTGGTAAGTTATCCACATCTATTTTGTCAAAGGAGAATAGGATTGTTTCGGAAGACCTGCATTGCCTTCCTGAATCCCAGCCCCAAGGACTCAGTTTCGCCCAGCTGTGTCCTGCCAGCTTGCCTGTGTTCCCGAGAGCAGAGGGACGGGCCTGTCTCTGTCAGAGTGTGGGAGGGCAAGAGCTGAAATACCACCATGAGGTTCAGACCTGGAGATCACTGGCGGATCCATCTGGGAGTTGTTTACCAGTTTCCTGTGGCCCATACTGCCCGGGCCTCTGGAGCTCTTCCCCAGCTGGGCCTCTCGGAAGAGAGCGTTTCTCCGAGGGCGTCAGGCTGCTGGGAGGATCTCCTTGTCCCGGTCAGCA